TCACGTCACATTTTACTGGGCATTCGTTGCAATTTAGTAGGTGCGACATTATCTGAGCCTCTCCGCATACACAGTTTGTGCGTTCCTTCCCATTGCTTATTCCCCATTTTTTTAGGATTTCCTTCGACCGTCCAACTCGTGTACGTAAGCAGTTTAGTGTACTCCATATCCTACATTTATTGTAATGTCCTGAGAGTAACTTCTCTTCGACTACTTGCCTGCTCTCTACTTCCCATAATTTCAATCTTACTGTCTGTGGGTTTTCTTCTAATTTCTTCATACATTTTAAGAAACTCTTTCTTGATTTTAGTTAGAAACCATCTACTTGTGTGTTATACATCAGGTGTCTTACATCCGTGATCTGTTTTGTCTGTTCTATGTCACTAGCAATTTGTCTACGTATATGTGGTGGCGCTATTCCTACTAGAGGATATAGTTTGTCTACTGGTGTTGGTTTTAAGCATCCTGTTATAATGTGTACTGTTTCATTTAACGCAACATCAATTTATTTAGATCATCATTATACTTACTAAAGTGATTTTTGTATAAAAACATTTACAAATTTAGAATCAAAAAAACTGTGGTAATGTATATGTTTTAAAAAAACTTTGTGAGAAGATTTTTATTTACATTCAAAAATCAAATGAATTAAGAAAGGTACCCAAGAAAAAGCCAAACAGCAATTTTTGTTCAAATGATACTTGAATATATATACTATATATGATGTAATTATTAACCAAAAGGTAAATTGAATAAAAAATTTGTTAACTACATGCAATACGAACAATATATATTTTTTGTGTGTAAAAATGTATTTTTATTATATGGAGTATTTATTAAAAATTTCAGAAAATATGATTGTAACACTTTGCTAGAACAGACACAAGAATTTTGTTGCAATCACAGACCATGATATTATATATTATAAATTATAATACATTTCTTATATAGTTATATCAAATCTTAGTCTGTGATTGCAACATTTTTATCTTAATAGATTCTTTTATGTATACCAGTTTTTGGTACAATTGGTTTAAAAACAGCCTTTCAGTATATGGGAAAATTCATGGAAAATATATGAAAAAATAATTATTGATGGCCTACATCCTGATGGCGGGAGATCCGTCGAGATTACTGTCACAATGTACAACCTAATATCTACAACCACTTATATTATGTCTACAACTGTAGTGGTGATGACAAAAAACTCAAGAAATCCAGGGTTGCCCCACTCCACCCCCTTGATATCAGCCACTGACATTAAAACATTATATGTAGTTCACAATTCACATTTTGAATATTTTACTTTTGAATGTCTTAATATTAATAAACTTTTTTAGACATATCTAAAAATAATATAATCCAACATAAGTTCTCAAATTATAATTGTAATTACATATAATTATTATTTAAAAGTAAATTAATTACTACTATTTTAAAATGTAAAATACTCGCAAAATATTTATAAAATCCTGTACCAGATTCCCATAAATTTGTAATGTCTTCAGATTGAAAATGAGAAGCACGCACTCTTCAATTGAAATTACTTTCCACATTCAATGCTTCTTCCAATATTTTGTATAGTTTTAAAGAATGGGAAAAAATGATACATTCTGTCACACACAACATTTCAGCATAATGTAAAACTCATTAAAAATTGTATTTTTTTTAATATAAATAAATACGTACTACATCAACGATACATATATCTCTTATGTTAAACAATTGAACAGAATAGATTAACATCGCACAAAACACAATTTAAGATATTATATAACTACCTATAGGCTTGTTATTGCTTTATTGTCTTTTGCTTTTATTTTTTTTAACATTCTTTTTACGATTATTATAACATGTTATATTGTATGAATACTTTACTGATGATCTTTTCTTTATTTATTATTAAAGGAATGTTGGCCAACCGTACATAACAACCCTAAATCTGAATCTAAACACAACTATTCTAATTTCACAATAATACGTGTGCTACGATAAAGGTGGTGTTTTTATTTTTCCATCAACCCGCATAAAAAATCTCCCCCCCCCCCCCCCC